AAACCTGCTCAGAGCACCCCAAACCTTCTCAGGGCACCCCAAACCCACCCAGGGCCACCCCAAACCCACTCAGGGCCACCCCAAACCTGCTCAGGGCACCCCAAAGCTGCTCAGGGCACCCCAAACCTACTCGGGGCACCCCAAAGCTGCTCAGGGCACCCCAAATCTGCTCAGCGCCACCCCAAACCTCAGGGCACCCCAAACCCACTCAGGGCCACCCCAAACCTTCTCAGGGTCACCCCAAAACCTGCTCAGAGCACCCCAAACCTGCTCAGGGCACCCCAAACCCACTCGGGGCACCCCAAAGCTGCTCAGGGCACCCCAAATCTGCTCAGCGCCACCCCAAACCTCAGGGCACCCCAAACCCACTCAGGGCCACCCCAAACCCACTGAGGGTAACCCCAAACCCTCCCTGGGCCACCCCAAACCTGCTTAGAACCACCCCAGACCTGCTCAGGGCACCCCAAACCCCCCTAGGGCCACCCCAAATCTGCTCAGGGCCACCCCAAAGCCGCTGAGGGCCACGCCAAATCCGCTCAGGAACATCCCAAACCCGATTAGGGTAACCTGAAACTCTTGCAGGGCCACCCCAAACCTGCTCAGGGCCACCACAAACCTGCTCATTGCACCCCAAACCCCCCAAGGGTCACCCCAAACCCACTCAGGGCACCCCAAACCCCCCAAGGGTCACCCCAAACCCCCCAAGGGTCACCCCAAACCTGCTCAGGGCCACCCCAGACCTGCTCAGGGTCACCCCAATCCCTCTCAGGGCCACCCCAAACCCCTCCTGGGCCACCCCAAACCTGCTCAGGGTCACCCCAAACCCACTCAGGGCCACCCCAAACCTGCTCATTGCACCCCAAACCTCCCCAGGGCCACCTGAAACCTCCCCAGAGCCACCCCGAACCTGCTCAGGGCCACCCCAAACCCCCCAAGGGTCACCCCAAACCTGCTAAGGGTCACCCCAAACCTGCTCAGGGCCACCCCAAACCTGCTCAGGGCCACCCCAAACCTGCTCAGGGCCACCCCAAACCTGCTCAGGGTCACCCCAAACCCCCCAAGGGCCACCCCAAACCCACTCAGGGCCACCCCAAACCCCTCCTGGGCCACCCCAAACCCCTCCTGGGCCACCCCCGAGGGGTTCAGGGGTGACGCTGCCCTGCCCCGGTGACACCTCCACCCCCCTCGGGCCTGTCCCTGACCCCCTCCCCCCCCTAATTAGCGCTAATTACCCCTAATCACCCCCGTATCTTATCGGGGGAAGGGGACTCTGGACCCGGATGTGGCACTGCCACCGCCCTGTCCCCTCCTGTGTCACCTCTGTCACCTCCCGGGGGTGTCCCCAAGCTTTGGGGACCCCTCTGTGTGTCCCCTCCTGTGTCACCTGTGTCACTCCCGTGTCACCTGTGTCCCCACCCGTGTCACCTGTGTCCCCACCCGTGTCACCTGTGTCACTCCCGTGTCACCTCTGTCACTCCTGTGTCACCCCTGTCCCCTCCTGTGTCACCTCTGTCACCTCCCGGGGGTGTCCCCAAGCTTTGGGGACCCCTCTGTGTGTCCCCTCCTGTGTCACCTGTGTCACTCCCGTGTCACCTGTGTCCCCACCCGTGTCACCTGTGTCACTCCCGTGTCACCTGTGTCCCCACCCGTGTCACCTGTGTCACTCCTGTGTCACCCCTGTCCCCTCCTGTGTCACCTCTGTCACCTCCCGGGGGTGTCCCCAAGCTTTGGGGACCCCTCTGTGTGTCCCCTCCTGTGTCACCTGTGTCACTCCCGTGTCACCTGTGTCCCCACCCGTGTCACCTGTGTCCCCACCCGTGTCACCTGTGTCACTCCCGTGTCACCTGTGTCCCCATCCGTGTCACCTGTGTCACTCCCGTGTCACCTGTGTCCCCACCCGTGTCACCTGTGTCCCCACCCGTGTCACCTCTGTCACTCCCGTGTCACCTGTGTCACTCCTGTGTCACCCCTGTCCCCTCCTGTGTCACCTCTGTCACCTCCCGGGGGTGTCCCCAAGCTTTGGGGACCCCTCTGTGTGTCCCCTCTCCACCTGAACCCCCCAAAACCTCCCCGGGGGTCCCTTTTGGGGGGTCCTGTCCCTGTGTGTCCCCTCCTGTGTCACCTGTGTCACTCCTGTGTCACTCCTGTGTCACTCCTGTGTCACCTGTGTCCCCTCCTGTGTCACCTGTGTCACTCCTGTGTCATCTGTGTCACCTCTGTCACTCCTGTGTCACTCCTGTGTCACCTGTGTCCCCTCCCGTGTCACCTGTGTCACTCCCGTGTCACCTGTGTCACCTCCCGGGGGTGTCCCCAAGCTTTGGGGACCCCTCTGTGTGTCCCCTCCCCCCCACTGACTTGTCCCCAGAATTGTCCCAGGATTGTCCCCAGAGTGTCCCCAAACTGTCCCTGGATCGTCCCCAGGATTGTCCCAGGATTGTCCCCAGAGTGTCCCCAAATTGTCCCCAAAAGTGTCCCCTGAGTGTCCCAGAACTGTCCCCAAACTGTCCCCAGAGTGTCCCCAGAGTGTCCCCAAAGTGTCCCCGCACTGTCCCCGCGCTGTCCCCGCACTGTCCCCGAGCTGTCCCCGCGCTGTCCCCGAGCTGTCCCCGAGCTGTCCCCGCACTGTCCCCGAGCTGTCCCCGAGCTGTCCCCGAGCTGTCCCCG